GCTCCAGCAGCTGCTGAATTTGTCCCTCCTCTCCACTGAGACCGGGAAGTCAGTTACCACGACCCACACCCCAGGTCAGCAATTCTTACTAGTGACCTGCTAGACCTGGGTGGTGCCCCAGGCAGGTTCTTCCCTCCAGGTGCCTAGTCATCTCAGGAGCCAGTGTTCATCTGGTGGGATGGAGTGAGGGGCGTCTTCATCCTAGGCTTCCAATGCCTCTGCGGATTCTGTAGCCACCAAAAGTCGGCTGAAATATCCTTTAAGGGCCCCTTCACATCTCCTAGAGGCCGCAGGGCTGCTTGGAGCCCTGATTTCCCCAAGGACCGCCAGGAAATCACAGCACACCGGCCCAGGGACCAGCTTGGCGACATGGATGGAATCCCAGGACCAGTGCATCTGGCTCCTTGGTTCATGCCAGCTGCATGACTGGGTGCTGGTCACAACAACAGCACAAGACTGCTTGTTTCCCCTCCCATTTGGCAGTTGAAGTGAGTCTAGCTGGATATCATATCACATCCAAAAAAGTTTGTAACCCCCCCAACCTGAGAGAATCTGTCAAGTTCCGATTCACCAGAGGCCTCTATAGGGGAGCAGTCTTCTCCCAGCCCACCTCCCCTCCTTAGCCCCCAGGGGACGAGTGTTTTGGGGTGACCACTTCTCACGCAGACCTCTCCCTTACACCTCCCCATGGGAGTCATTTACCAGATTGGATACTGACATCTATTGGGCTGTGTTAAGGTAGAGTCCCTGCCTTGCATCCAGGGGCCATCCCAAATGCTCAGACTCATGGGCTACCTACCTCAGGTATGGGGTCTGCAGCCCCCACTTGCTGGCTTCATGTGGGAGCAGACCCAGCCACAACTGCCCTTTCTTCCCCCTTCTCTACCCGAGGATGGGTAGATCAGTCAAGTAAGCCCTCTTCTGCCAGCAGGCGGGAGTTCACAGGGGAAAGGAATGTGCCTGAACTCCTGACCAGGCCAAATCATCACTTAAAAACAAAATAAGTCCTGGGGAGGTAACATACAGCATGCTGACTATAATTAATACTACTGTATTGTATATTCGAAAGTTGCTAAGAGGGCCGGCCCCATGGCTTAGCAGTTAAGTGCGTGCGCTCCACTGCTGGCGGCCCGGGTTCGGATCCCGGGCGCGCACCGACGCACCACTTGTCTGGCCATGCTGAGGCCGCGTCCCACATACAGCTAGAAGGGTGTGCAACTATGACATATAACTATCTATTGGGGCTTTGGGGAAAAAATGAGGAGGATTGGCAATAGATGTTAGCTCAGAGCCGGTCTTCCTCGGCAAACAGAGGAGGATTAGCATGGATATTAGGGCTGATCTTCCTCTCAAAAAAAAAAAGAAAGTTGCTAAGAGAGTTAAATCTTAAAAGCTCTCATCACAAAGAAAAAGATTTTGTTAACTATTGTGGTGATGGATCATTTTGCAATATATAAAAATACTGAACAATTATGTCATACACCTGAAACTAATATAATGTCATATGTCAATTATATCTCAATAAAAACCAACCAACCAACCAAGCCTTGGTGCTGCTACTGGTTCTGACACCTGGAGAGCAGGCTGGAAAGAGCACTTGGAAATCTGACTACAAGACTCCTTCACCGCGTCCCCGCCACTGAGGCCCGGGCACTGGCAGTTGTTTAAATGTTTCACGGAAACCCCAGAAAGCCAGATGTAGAGCAAGGCTCAAGTTAAAGGTCTGGTTCTGTCACCCAGCTGTGCAACCTCAGGCAAGTTGTTCAACCATTACGAATTTTGGTTTCCTCTATAAAATACAGAGAAGGGCTGCTTCACAGGACTTTTTTTAGGATGAAAGGCTACTGTCCACAAAAATGGTCCACAAACGTCCCAAACAGTGCCTGGCACGTACATAGCAGGCCCTCGGCATACAGTGAAGGAACATAAGGGGTAATGATGTGCGTGGCTGTTACTCAGACAGTGACAGAGAAGCCCCGCTGACCGCCTCAAGCTCAAAGGGGAGGTCATCTCTGGGTTCTGCTGCCTGGCTCCTCTGCAAGCTCTGATGTGGGGGCCACATCCTGCTTGCTACTGCTGTCACTCTCCCTAAACTGTTGCTTCAGCAGGTAAGGGAGCAAAATGCCAGCCCTTGCCAGCGTCACTAAGGCATGAATGTGCAACTGGCTTCTTGGGTTCAACTTGTGACTACAAAAGCGTTGCCAAGACTCTAGCCTCCCACCGAGCAGAACACGCATTCCACACTGTTACGCGTAAGTGGGCTGAGGACACCAAGAAATCAAGAAAATACCCAAGTACAAATGATGGTGCATTGCCACTGAGCTCTCCTTTTTGTTTTTCTGGAGGGGCTTAAGATGACAGCTGAGCCATATACCCACGGCTAGGACACCGGAGCCAAGGAACCGGGTGTGCCTCAGCAATTAACATTTAGCTAAGAGGGAAGCACACAGCAGAAGCTGGTGGTTGGAGCTCTGACGACCAGATCTGACCCTTCATTGTGCCAGTGTTCTAGCTGCAACTGAGGAACGTAGGATAGAAAAACCTGCCATAAAGCACCACTAACGGAAGCTCGGGCCCCCTGCCCAGAAACGGGGGAGGCCAGTGGTAACAGTATTAATGAGGATGACCACCATTTACTGAGCACTGTGTGCCAGATACCACACCAAGTACCTAAGCCCGATTATCTTTCACCCTCACTAGGAAGTTGGTATCATTCTTCCTATTTACAGAGGAGGAAACTGAGGCCCAGTGAGGTTAAGGGCCTTGTTCAGGAGACCCAGCGAGTAAATGTCTGGCTCCAAGCTCATAACCACGATGGTCTATCTAGGGGAGGTGGAGCAAGGCTGAGTTCCCAGGGAGGAGAAGCAGAAGCAGCGGGGGAGTCTCAGGCGGACGAAGTCTGTCTTGGGTGGAAAGAGGCAGCCAGACGGAAAGCAACCTACGAGGCGGAGAGTGAAAGAGACGAGAACGCAAAGGGCTAGCCTAGGCCACCCCTAGTTAGGGACCTGACTTTCAGTCTAGAATGCTCTTGAAAAAAACTGAAGCCCTCCTTTCCCCTCCCAACTCTGGATTTGAGAAGCCAGCTCTCTCTCCTCCTGGGTCCTGGGAACAGGGAAGGGACACACACACAGGTCACCAGCCCCCTCCTGGGTCCAGTCACATCCTCCTCCCTGCTTCTTACAGATGGAAAACTGGATGCTATGAATTCCGTGCTCCCTTTCTCCCCACTCAGGTGGGTGCAGAGCCAAAGGTAGATGGCTAGCAGCAAGTGGTCGAGAGGGCATGGTGTGACACAAGCTAGAGAGTCCAAACAGAGCTGGCCATAGGATTCCTCACAGACAAGCTTTCTGTTCAAGCTTTTTAAGAATTTCAAGAATTTTAAGAATACTACCACTCAGGACAATGGAAGCAGGTTTAAAGAAACCCACCCCAAATTTTGTTTTTATCCCTTAATGCCTAGTTATAAAATCCCATATAATAATAAAATTATTATTATTATTATTTCCTTTCATCTCTGTTTTTCTCCTCTTTTTGGGCTTGAACCACACTGTCTACACTGGATGCTTTCCAAGGCTGCTTCCTCTATTGGGCAGACCAGAGCCGGTTCTGCTAGTCACGGTGTCTACAGAACCTGTGCCTCAGTTCCAGGGCTCTACAATGGGTACAATGGAATACCCATGAGGAAATGATCACCAGTGACTCACAATCTCTCCAGAGACACCAGGGCAGAAATCCCACCTTCTCAACATAATCGAGCTGTTACGGTAGATGGGGAGGGAGCTGGGAACACAAGATTCAGTATAGGAAAAGCAAGAGCTTGTTCTCTGACAGGTTTATTAGCTTTCAAGTTAGTGTGTGTTTTTAATGCCTGTAACCCTTTGTCCACTTTTTCCACCATCAACAGAGGCCAAGAGATAGAGCAATGGCCTCTTCAAAGTCAAACCACATACAAATGGTGACGTGGATTCCTCGGTCTGCCTCCTGAAACGACTTGAGGTTGCTCTGGGTACAGGCTGTGATGATAACAGCACGATCGCAGGAACAATGAAGCAGAGAAGCAGAAGGTGCCCACACAGTTTTACCTGAACGTCTTGTTTGTTAGCATGGAGCTGGTGCGCCTGCACTGACAGTCGGGAACAATTAGCACAGAGCAGTTCTGAAAAGGAGGAAGAACTCACGAGGCATCAGTTATGGGTGAAGGGAAGCCACCATCTGGCAACGGGTCCCAGAGCATCGCTGCACTGGAGGGAAAGGAGGGGCTGGACGAGATCCAGGGGCCTCTCTGCCCACGTTCAAACTGAGCAGCTTCTCGCCTGCCAGCACCACAGTGTCAACACGCTCCGTGTGTGTCTCTCCCCGTCTCACACCAAGGAAGGAGAAACAACTGATGCAGGAACCAAGGGGAAGAACGAACTGCACAGGCTCATTCTCCTGAAGCGGGGGAAACTACAGATTTTTTTTTTTAAAGCCCATGCCTCTCTCTGTCCTTGAGGCCTCCATACCCTGTCTCCCCTTGTCCCCCCTCCCCCCCAAAAGGACAGCCCTTGCCCCCCTTTATGAGACAGAGGTGGAGCAGTACCACTGGGCCTCAGCTGCTCACAGCTCGGAGCTGCTGTGTGGGAAGGGAAAAGAGCAGGAGGGACAGCAGATAAAAGAGGAGGAGAGGACAAGGGCAGCACCTTCAGACTAGAAATAGCTTGCAGAATTAGAAGCCACAACTATAGTATGTATCAAACAGAGAGGGGCCTCGACAGAGTACAGAGTATTGTCAGAATACGCATGTGTGTCCCACTGGTTGGCTATATTGGGATTCCAGGAGCTGCCAAATTAGATCATCTCGTCCACACACCTACCAGCACTTCTGTCTCTGGCCATGATGAAATAAGGCCAACATTTCTCTAAGGTTTCGAGTCTTAAATGGGATTGGATGCAGGGAGGAGAAGGAATGGCCAAAGTAAGGGACAACTCCACGACAACGACGAGTGTTAAGTGACGCCCCCTGTAGTTGATCATCTTTACTTAGTCACACAACATCAAGAAGTCGCTACTCCCAGGGGAGTGCGCCATTTCAGCACTGGGGTCAGTTCTCCTTCCCTGCGCATGCTCCACAAGGCAGTACAACCAAAGGACGTGCTTATCCCGAATGAAGGTCTAAAGAATACCTGTCTAATACTGGCCCTTGCTTCTTTGTGCTGTCAGGAAAGGAAAAAAAGGAAAAAACAAGAAAGCAATATAATCCAAATCTGTGCAAGCCAATGGGTGCCTATCCTCCCAGGGCGTTTTTAGTGGCATTTCTGCTGGGCCCTGACCTCTGCCCCACGACAACACTGAGGAGGGAGGCAGAGGGACAGGTTTGGGCATCTGCACTGGACTAGAAAGAGAAATCAAACACAAGTCAGGCCACTGGTAAATTCTGGCACATTTTTAGATGACGTTAAAAATGTCTCGGTGCGCACAGGAAGCAGGCAAAGGAGTTTTCTGAGGGAGGTAATGCCTGAAGGCAGAAGGAATGTCCGGTCTACTCTTGGGGAGGAGCTCCCGGTGGTAAGGACATGGGAGCTAGGGGGCCTCGAGGAAGGTGTTGGTTCGGAAGATGGAGGAGACGATCTTGCCGGTGGCGTTGATAGTACCTTCGCTGTCGGAGCTGGACTCAGAGTCACTGCTCCCGGAGTAGGCGCCCAGGCCTGGGAGGATGCCGATACAGACCGCAGCGGAGGGGCAGTGGATGGAGGGACCACTCAGGGACGTGCTTCCAAGAGACACGCAGGACGGGGCTTCTGCAAAGGAGGAGGAAAGACTGTTACTTCATCACCTCTTTCCAACGTTGATTGGGTGCTTTCCATATGCCAGGCACCGTGCTGAGGGCTTTACCCACAGAAGCCCTCAAAACAACCCTACGCAGTCAACACTAACATCACCTTCATCTTACAGCTGTGCTCCTCTCTGACAATTGAGAAAACTGAAGCCACAGTCAGAGAACATCTTAAGACCATGCAGAATGTCACCACATAGCTGGGGCAGTTTTTGTCCCAGGAAACCCACAGGTACTCTGCCACCTCAGTGACAGAAAGCCTCCATCTAGAAAACGCAGGGCTTGACGGTGAAAGGAAAAGTTAAGAACTCTGCTCCACTCCTTCTTCCCTCTAAACCTTCCCAGCCTCACTTAGTCACCATAGCAGCCTGATATGTAGGGATCCCCCAGGGTACTGATGAGAGGTCAAAAGACCTGGCTATGGTTAAAGGGCACTAAAGAGTAGAAAACAATAAATTCACTCTGAATCAAAAGATAATGTACTAAAATAATGCCAGAGCTCACTGGCGAGTGAGCGCTGGAGTTTAAACCTCACTGGCTCAGGCTGACAAGCATATTACCTTCCAGGGTTTTGCCTTAACAAACCCCTAACACACACCTTACCTAAATGTGAAAAGGATACGTGGTGCCCAGTATATGAAATCAGGAGTAAGTAAAAATACCACTGAGAAGCAAAAAGAGATCTCGAATAGCCAGCACAGAGTGCAGGAGCTCCGTGTCTGTGCTTGTCTTACAGAAAGTCCTAATAAGGAAAAAGAAGCCACTAAAGACAAGCAGTGTTAAAACATGGAGACGGAGAAACGTGAAATGAGAGCTGACAATGGTTGCAGAGATGGCGATGACAAAGGCTACAAGAAAGCAGAGGCAGGTATTTGCAACAAATATCACAAGAGCTCATTTCTTTACGATATAAAGAGTTCTTCCAAAAGCAACCAACCAACCAACGACTGAATGGAAAAGTGGACAGAAGACAGGGACAGTTCACAGAAAAAGAAACATGAATTTTAAACACAGGAGAATAAACAATATAAAAGGAGAGAAAGTATGCGGAACAGGCATCTTTGTATGTTGCTGAGGGAGCATAGGGAAATTTGGAAATGTCCTTCAAACTGAAATGCTGTTCATATGAGAACATTCACTGCAGCACTGCTGACAGCAGCAAAAGACTGGAGACAACCTAATGTCCATTAACAGGGACCAGTTAAGCAATGGACTACTATTCAGCCAGTACAAAGAATCAAGTATCTCTGTGTACTGGTATTGAATGGTCTCCAAGACTCTGTGCTAAATGAAAGGGGCAAGGGTGTGTAGAAGTTATAATTTGTGGGGAGAAAAAAACATGCCCATGTATATGCATGACAATGTCTGAAAAAATACATAAAAAACTAGTAACAGCGGCTGCTCTGGGGAGAGGAACTGAATGGTTGGGCAACAGGAGAGACTTAACTTTTCACTCTACACTCTTCTGTCCCTTTTGAATTTTCTATGATATGCATACACTACCTGTTTAGACAATTGTTTAAAAAGGCAAATGTAAAAATTCAAAGAGCATCCTGGGCCACTTAAACTAGGGAGGAACAGTCCCACATATCTCTGTAACCCCAAGGGCATCCCTGAATTCCAGCCAGGAAGGCTGTTGAGGACTGGACAGTCCTAACGACGAGAGGGATTACTTGTCTCTATTTTCCTCTAACGCTAAGTCTCTTGAGGGCAAGGGCCCCTTCTTCCCCATTCCATGCCCTTGGCATAGAGCATAGGGCCTGGCACAGAGCAGGCCAGCACTCACAATGTGTCAGAATGCAGGGAAACCTGTTAAAGGCATTTTACAGGTTGACTGTAAATGGCTCAATTTTTTGAGGTGGGATGTGAAAATTTGGGACATAACATCAAACTGTCTACCATTCATTATGTGAATATTCACTGTACTATTATTTTCACATAACAACGATACTTCCAGTGCAGTTATGCACTACATAATGATGTTTCAGCCAACAATGAACTGTGTATATGATGGTGGTCCCATAGGATTAGTACCATATGGCCTAGGAGTGTAGTAGGCCATACCATCTAGGTTTGTGTAAGCACACTTTATGATGTTCACACAACAAAAAAATCACCTAACGACGCATTTCTCATAACATATCCCTGTCGTCAAGCAACATACAATTGTATTGTCAGAAAAATTCAGTTGTTTAAAAAAAACTGATATTTTATAAGGGTATGAATCAATTACTCAGAAAAGTAATTTATCTGTTCAGTGAGATAAGTCATTTTATTAAGTATTTCAAGGGTGAACTGAATTTTAGAGTCTATCTTAGAAAAGAAGGATCAAGTTCAGAATACCTATGGAGGACCAGAGGTGGTCTGAGGGAAGGATGGAAGCCAGCCACAGAAATGCAACCAAGGAATCTGGACCACTGTGGCATCAGCAGAGTTTAAGCCAAAAGACCAAATCTCTCAATTACCTAGGAGCTTTCAAGTAAGAAAAGAGACTGCAACTCTGACAAATTTCATTCCAAAAGCAGTTAATTGTCCAAAGAGAACAAAGTGGTGCCCTCTGATCTCACCCATTTGGTGAAGTTTCCTGCCAACTTCTGCATTTGCAGGACCACACTGTCATACCAAAATAATACCGAAAATTACTAATAGAGACTGTTCTTGGGATTCAGACAGATGCGTGACTTGAGAGTAGATGGGGCCAACTTGTGCATTCACTGGCTCTGCTCAGAGCTTAAGTCCAGAGCCTCTAGTGGAGGAAGCCTGAACCTCCATTAGGATCAAAGCTAAGGAGGCAAATCCTTTTACTGCCGAGGAAAAGACTCTGAAGCAAGCTTCAGGGTATATTCTTCTCATGGGACCTTAGCTCCTAGCAAAAGAGGATATTTCTTGCCCAGCTTCTGCTGTAAGAATGGAAGGGTAGGAAGAAGGGGTTTAGAATGACAAAAAAGATGGATCTGAAACAAAAGTGTCTGCCTGAGAGAGTTTAAAGAAGCCATGCCAGTTTTCCTTTCCATTGATTGATGCAAATAGTTCCTACCAGAGAATAAGTACCACATACAGGACTATTAGTTAACTAGTTGAAATACATTTAAGACTTCTATGAAGTTTTAGATATAGATAAACTTCTATGAAGTTTAGTATACACACACACACACAGAGTATAAGTTATCCTATTTAACTAGCCACAGTTTAGCAAGTTTCCCAATATTAAAACGATATCGGTGAAATGGAACTCCTACATTGTTGATGGGAATGTAAACTGGGATAACTTCTTTGCAGGGCAATTTGGTAATATTTATCGAAATTATAAATGTATATTCTCTCTGACCCAATAATTCTACTTCTAAGTATTTAACCTGATATATTTGTGAATGTGAAAAATGATGCACCTACAGAGGTATTTAATGAACCATCAGAACAGACAAAGAATGGAAACAATCTAAACATTCAATAAAAAATGGGATAAATATAGCATAGTACAACCATACAATGGAATACTACACATCCTTAAAAAGGAATGAAGTAGCTCTTTATGTTCAGATATACAACAATTCCCAAGGTACAATAAAAGTGAACTAAGCAATGAACAAAAGAGTACGTTAATTAAAATAATAATAATGATAATAGGAAGCACAAAAACAATATATGAAGTATTCTTGCCAAAAAATCAACTTGAATTGATCAAGCTCTAGATCTAATTACCATTTTACAGGAAACACAGGGTATAAAGGAACACCATGGGGATGTAATCAGCAAAATCTAGAGTATGGGAAACTCCCACAGGACAAAGACCCAGTTTTTTCACAAATAAAGTACCAAGGAAACAAAATATACATTAAAAAAGGAGGAAGAACCTAAAGGTTAAAGAAGTCTCATTTAAAAGACATATTAGGGCCGGCCCTGTGGCTTAGCAGTTAAGTGCGAGCGCTCCGCTACAGGCGGCCTGGGGTTCGGATCCCCAGCGCGCACCGATGCATCGCTTCTCCGGCCATGCTGAGGCCGCATCCCACATATAGCAACTAGAAGGATGTGCAGCTATGACATACAACTATCTACTGGGGCTTTGGGGGGGAAAAAAAAAAAGACATATTAACCTATTGTTAAGACGCCATAGGGCCGGCCCTGTGGCTTGGTGGTTAAGTGTGCGCGCTGCGATGCTGGCAGCCCGGGTTCGGATCCCGGGTGCGCATTGAGGCACCACTTCTCTGTCCATCCTGGGGCCGAGTCCCACATACAGCAACTAGAAGGGTGTGCAGCTATGACATACAACTATCTACTGGGGCTTTGGGGGCAAAAAATAAAATAAATAAAATCTTTAAAAAAAAAAAAAAAAGACGCCATAAGATGGTAATATTTCCATTGATCTACAGATTCAAGCAATCTCTATCGAAATCCCAGCTGCCTTTTTTGTAGAAATTGACAAGTTGATCCCAAAATTCATATGGAAATGCAAGGGACCTTGAAAAGCCAAAATGATCTCAAAAAAGAACAAAGTTGGAGGACTCACACTTCACGATTTCAAAACTTACTACAAAGTTATAGCGATCAAGACAGTCTGGTAATGGCACAAGAACAGACACACAGATCAATGGAAGAGAAAAGAGAGTCCAGAAATAAACCCACACACGTTGGTCAACTGATTTTTGACAAAAGTGCCTCAATAATTCAGTGGGGAAAGAACAGTCATTTCAATAAATGGTGCTGGGCCAACTGGATATCCACACAGAATGAAACTGGATCCCTACCTCATGCCATATACAAAAACTAACTCAAAATGGATCAAAGACTGAAATGTAAGAGCTAAAACTATAAAACTCTTAGAAGAAAACATAAGTTAGTAAATCTTCATGACCATGGATTAGGCAATGGTTTCTTAGATATGACACCTAAAGCACAAGCAACCAAAGAAAAAACAGATCAACTAGATATCATCAAAATTTAAAATTTTTGTGCTCCAGAGGACACTATCAAGAAAGTGAAAATACAACCCACAGAATTACTCAGAATTTGAGTAAATACTTCTCTAAAGAAGATATACAAATGGCCAATAAATACATGATGCCAAAATCATTAGTCATTAGGGAAATGCAAACCAAAACCACAATGAAATACCATTTCACATCCACAAGGATGGATATAATAAAAAACGACAATAACAAGTGTTGATAAGGATGTGAAGAAACTGGAACTCTCATATACTGCTGGTAGAATATAAAAATGATACAGCCACTTTGGAAGGCAATTTGGCAGTTCCTCAAAAAGTTAACAGCAATTCCATTCCTAGGTATATACCCAAGGGAATTGAGAACAGTTGTTCACTCAAAAACTTGTACATGAATGTTCATAGCAGCATGATTTATAACAGCCAAAAAGTGGAAACAAGCCAAATGTCCATCAACTGATGAATGGACAAACAAAATGTGCCATATCACACAATGAAATATTATTCAGCTGTAAAAAGTACTGATACACGTTACAGCATGGATGAACTTTGAAAACATCATGTTAAGAGAAAAGAAGCCAGACATAAAAGGTCACATATTGCATGATTTCATTTACATGAAATGTCCAGAAAAGGTAAATCCATAGAAACAGAAAGATTAGTGGTTACCAATGGCTGGGGAGAGGGAAGAACAGGGAGTAACTGCTAATGGGCATGGAGTTTCTTTTTGGGGCAATAAACATGTTTTGGAATTTGTGGTGATGACTATACACTCTTGTGAACGTATTAAAAATCACTGAGTTGTATCCTTTAAAAGGGTAAATTTTATGGTATTTTATGGTATGGGAATTATATCTCAACAATTTTTTTAAAAGCCATATAAGCCAAATACAATGTCTAATCCACGCTTGGATTTTGATTTTTAAAAAACCAATTGTCAAGAAAAAAAATTATGGGAAAATGAATACTAATTCGATATTTGATAATATTTGGAATTATTGTAATATTTGAGGTGTGATAATGATACTAAAATGACGTTAAAACAGGGGTCGGCCCGGTGGCTTAGCGGTTAAGTGCACGCGCTCCACTACTGGCGGCCCGGGTTCGGATCCCAGGCGCGCACCGACACACTGCTTCTCTGGCCATGCTGAGGCTGCGTCCCACACACAGCAACTAGAAGGATGTGCAACTATGACACACAACTATCTACCGGGGCTTTGGGGAAGAAAAAAAGAAGGAGGATTGGCAACAGAAGTTAGAAAAAAGGAGGAGGATGGGCAATAGATGTTAGCTCAGAGCCGGTCTTCCTCAGCAAAAAGAGGAGGATTAGCATGGATGTTAGCTCGGAGCTGATCTCCCTCACAAAAAAAAAAAAAAAAAAATTACGTTAAAACAAACAACTTAAAAAAACCCCTATTTTTTAGGGATACATACAGAAGAATTATGGATGAAACAATTTGATGCTGGGATTTGCCTCAAAATACAAGGTATAAATGAAATAAGATTGGATATGTGTTAAAAGCTGTTGAAACTATACGATGGGGTTCATTATACTATTGCCTCAATGTCTGAATATGTTTTAAGTTATCTATAATAAAACATTTTAAAATATATATGTTTGTAATTGCTTGTACATACATAAATAACTCTGGATGGATAGATACGAAATGTATAATACTGTCCCCTCTGGGAAGGAGAATTGGATGGAAGAGGATATATGGGTAGAAGGGATACACTTCACTGAAAGTCCTTTTTAAAAGTAGATTCTAGAGCAAAAAGGTATCAGCAACAGCTGACCATTATTGATACTCAGTAGATACGTATCAAAAAATATCCATTAGATACACATTAAAAAATATCCACTATTTTTTCGAGAGAGTAATAAATGTAAGCCCTGTTTTATAGATGACCCATTGACTTTAGCTTAGCGTGTCAATCCCACAGGGAGTCAGGGGTGAAGTGAAAACACTCTTGAAATTCTCATTCCTGATCCAGCCCCCAGGATACACTGACCTTCACTTACAACTTTGCCACTTACTATAGTGCCAGTTTGATTACATAAAAGTAACCACCAAAGACAGTGTACTCCTGGAAACTGTATTAAGCCTCTAGGCTCAGTTCAATCCAACCATCAGCAGGAGGCAGGCATTCTACCTCTCACTGGTAGCACGCCAGATGAAATCAAGAAACTTGACATTTGGGGGAGACAGAGAGAAACCCTGTGTGAGCTGAGGTGATATGACCAGGGTTTGGCTTTGTAAGCACTCCTAGGAGAGCACAATTGTCATTTATCAGTTCCACTGGTTTCTAACATACTACTTTGCAGGGCAGCTGACATCCTCTTGGGTATAAACCCTGCCTGGCATAAAACAGTTCAGTAAACTAACTTTGGGTAGGCTTGCTTAGAGACAAATGCATACATTCACAGACGCAATGCATTCCAGCCCTTTACTGTGGTTCATGTGTATTCTGAGTACAGAATGAAACGAAGGCTGCCACCCACCTTGATTCTTGTCATCTGGGTCAGGGTCCGATTTCAGTCTTTTCACACTGTTGCCACTCTCTGAGCTGTAACAAAAAAACATGGTGATTTGAGCTACATCCAATCTTGGGGATCAGAGCTTTGGGAATCAGGAGTGCCAATAACCATTTATACGGGTCTTAGGCAGCCTCAAGGAGCTGGGATGATCTGAAATGAAAAGTCTTCATTTCAGGATCTTAATCTCCTTCCAGTTATATTATTAGTTATAAAGACAACTTAAACTCCTGACCAATTCAAGGGGTAAAGCATTATACCTTCAAGAATCACCTCAACTTCAGATTCTTTGTTGTCCTTATCATTCATCCTGGTTAGAACCACAGATGGATTTCAAGAATATCTGGACATGTTCAGAAATGACAAAAATTTAGTTAAGTTATTAAAGATTGAAGGAAACATCTTTAGCGGCATGCTAGAAATTCTGCAAGTCACCCAAAAGACTTTCACTATAAGAATATCTAAAGAATGTACTTCAATGAGAAAGGAAATGATCCCAGAAGGAAAAGGATGGTGAACAAAGAAACCGGCAAATACGAATATAAATCTAAACAAATACTGTCTGTATAAAAAAATAACATCTAACTTGTGATGTTAAACATGACCATACTAAAGTGGACAGCACTAACATGTGAGAAAGGAAGAGGGTGATTGTCGCTAAAAGTTTTAAGATCTGTGTATAATTTTGTAGGTAAGTAAGATAGCTATTTACTTTAGGTTTTGCTAAGTATGCCTGGTAAATTGCAAGGTTAACCACCAAAAGCATAGAAATAGAATACATAAATCCAAACTAGTAGAAAGAAAAAAATAATGAACAAAAGATTTTAAAATCTTCATTTTTTTAAAAAGCAAGAATACAAGGGAAAAGTACTTTTTAAAAGTAAAAAGATAAATAAAATTAAGATAGTAGCAACTATATAAAAATCCTAATAAATCGAAACCTATCAGTAAAAAGAGATTAACTGATTAAACTTTAAATCAGCTATTTATGAGACACATCTAAAAACTTAACAAAAGCAAAACCAAACCAAACAACTTAAGACGGAGAAAGACTGCAAGTAAAAGAATGGAAAAAGAGTTAGGCTGGGGCACTGATATTAACATTAGGACAACAGACTTTAAGACCAAAAGCATTACAAGGGATAAAGGAGGTTACTTTACAATGAAACAAAGTTTAATTCACTATGAAGAAATAACAATTCTGAACACGTATGCTTTTAATCAAAGAGCTTAAAAAAAAATATATATATACAACAGAACTCTGAAGAAAAATCAAGAAACCATTACTACAGTGGGAGATTTCAAAATACTTCTCTCAAGTACTGACAGAGCAAGTAGACAAATATGTAAAGACACAGATTTAAACAATATAATTCACAAGTTTGTTTTGTTGTACCTGCCTACCAACTCAAAACAAAAAATTACACAGATTCTCCTCAAACTCACTTGGAAAATTCACAAAAATTAACCTCAGGAATAACAAGTCACAAGGCAAATCTAAAGCAATCTCAAAAGAATCAGTACATATAAACTACGATGCAATTAAGGCAGAAATAAATAACAAAAGATAAATACAATATTTCATAGACTCTCTAAGACACCATTGATTATAAGGTGTTAAAATGTGAAAAAAAATGTTCATCTTAGAACCAATGAAATATGGTTACCTCAATATGTCTGCAAATTTTAAAAAGTGTTTCCAATTCACGAGTCAAACAAGAAATCATAATGAATGTTTAAAAATACTTAGTTGGAAATATAAAATGGTTTACAATGAAAGCTGAAGAAAAATTATAGTTTTAGATGCCTATAACTGAAAAGAAGGGCTGAAAATTAATTAGCTAGGTATCTGACAGTCATTTGTAACAGAAACAATAAGAGAATAAACTTGAAGAAAGTAAAAAATATTCCAAAGAAAAGAGGTATGAGATATTAAAGAGCAGAAACTAATGAAATAGAAAAAATACAGAGAAGTAAATCCAAAAGAATCTTTGAAAAGACTGATAAAACAGAGACTACCTCTCATGAAACTAGTCAAAATAAGAATAAAAGAACAAATCATCAATATTTGGGATGAAAAAGGGGACAATTATGGATAGAGCAGCAATCAGAAAAATAAAGAATACTAATAACTTCAGTTAATGCATTTGAAACAAAACAAAATGGACAAATTCCCAGAAAATATAACCAAATAAAACTGACTCAAAAAGATATGGAGAAACTGAAATAGTCCTACAGTCACAAATAAAAAAAAGAGGAACCAAAATTATTTTATAGAGGAGTTCTACCAAACTTTCACAAAACAGAACACTACTATCTTATACCATCTCCTTTAGAGAACAGAAAAAGAAGGATCACTCCTTAACTCATTCTAGAAAGCTGGTTTTAATCTTCATATCAAAATTAGATAAAATAGGGAAAAAAATACAAGACAGTCTCACTCAAGAACATAGATGCAACAAACTATACAAAATATTAGTAAACCAAATCCAGTAGAGTTAAAAATAATAATAATACATCACTGCCAAGCTGAGTTTCTCACAGGAATGCAATATTAGGAAATCAGGAAACACATTGACAAAATGAACAGTTCACGGCTATGGAAAACCTCTTATCAAAGTAGGATCAGAACTTCCTCAACCTGCTAAAGGATATCCACAAAAACAAAAACAATAAACACTGTTCTTACTGGTGAAAAAGTCCTAAACATTCTGTTTAAAATTAGAGATAAAACAAGGATGTGTACAGTAACTGTTTCTATCTAACATTTTACTGGTGGTCCTAGCCAGTGCAGTAGGATAAGAGGAAGGAATTAAAAGGTATAAAGAAAAGAATAAAACTGTCTGGGGCCTGGCCCGGTGGTGCAAGCGGTTAAGTGCTCACACGCTCTGCTGCTGCGGCCCGGGGTTCGCCAGTTTGGATCCTGGGCGTGCACCGATGCACTGCTTGTCAAGCCATGCTGTGGTGGCATCCCATATAAAGTAGAGGAAGATGGGCATGGATGTTAGCCCAGGGCCAGTCTTCCTCAGCAAAAAAAAAAAAGAGGAGGATTGGCAGATGTTAGCTCAGGGCTGATCTTCCTCACAAAAAAAAAAAAAGATTAAAACTGTCATTATTCACAGATGGTAACTCTCTACATAAAAATTTCAAAAGAATCCAGACAAATTATTAACATTAATAAGTTACTAAACAATTATTATTAAAGTTAATAAGAGCTGGGTGGCTGGATGTAAATACTACAAAATCGATTGCACGTTTACATACCAGCAACAAAAAAATACAAAATACTTAGGAATAAATCTAACAAAAAATGTCCACAACCTTTATGAAAAAGAAAACTATAAGACTTTATTAAATGACGTTAAAAGAAACAAATGTCGATATATGCCATGGATAGAAAGACTCAAATCCATAAAGATCCGTTCTCTCTACAGATTTACCAAGCAATTTAATAACATTCCAATAAAAATCCCAATAGGGATTTTTAAAGAACTAAATCTAAAATTTATATGGAAGAACAAAATAGCCGAGAATAGACAAAACACCCTTGAAAAGAATGTAAGTGGACATGCCCTACCAGATATCAAGATTTATTATATAGCTACAATAATTACACAGAGTGGTACTGATCTAACAGACCCAACGAACAGAAAAAAAGACCCCCAAACAAACCCATATACGTATGGAAACTTGTTATAAGCCAGAGGTGACACTGAAGATCACTGGGGAAAGGCAGAAGTATTTAGTAAATGATGCTAGAAAATTGGCTTTTCATTTGAAGAAAAAAATTAAAATGAGATCCCTACCTCATACCCTTCACAAAAATCAATTCCAGATAGATTAAAGACTAACATGTGAAAGACAAAATTCTAAAACTTTTAGAAGAAAAACTCTTATGATCTCAGAGTAGGAAGAATTTCTTGAACAAAATATAAAATGCTCTAACTATAAAAGAAAATATTGATATATTTGACCACCTTAAAATTGTCTACCTTCAAAAGGTACAAACTCCCAGTTATAAAATAAATAAGTCCTAGGGATGTGATGTACAGCATGGGGACTATAGTTAACAACACTGTATTGTTTATTTGAAAGTTGCTAAGAGAGTAGCTCTTAGAAATTCTCATCACAAGAAAAAAAATTTGTAACTATGTGTGGTGATGGCTCTTAGCTAGACTTACTCTGGCGAACATTGCAAAATATATACAAATATCAAACCATTGTGTTGCGTACCTGAAACTAATGTAATGTTATACGTCAATTATATCGCATTTAAAAAGAACTGACCACCTTAAAATTAATTAATAAAAGTAAAGAGATTAGCTATAAACTGGGGGAAAAAATCAGGACTAGATTAAAAAAAAAACACCTATGAATCAGCAAGAAAAATACAAATAACCCAGTAGGAAAACGACAAAATAAATGAACAGAACTTTCACATTAATAGGACACGTGAACAGCAAATCAACATATGAAACGTCAACTACAGTCGTTAACAGGGAAATGCAAATTAAGACCACAAGGAGATAACTATTTTAAAAAATCACTGTATCGCTATATCTGTGCTAATAAGGCAGTTAACTAGCTACATATGGCTATTGAGCACTTGAAACGTGACTACTGTGGCTGAAGAACTGGATTTTAAATAGTTTCAATTAATTTAAATTTAGATAGCCACAGGCGGCCAGTGGTTACTGTACTGGACAGCACAGCTCTAGAGAAACATACGCAGGTATGTAACAAAACATATGTCCCAGGCCTATCAGCACTGTTTGTCATAGTTCAAATACTCACCCACAGGAGAATGGACAAATGTTGGTATCTCATATAATGTACTATTGTACAGCAGTGAAAATGAATGAATTACAGCTGTACACGTATGCACGCACACAAAAAATTGTTTCAATCACAGAAAAAATTTGAGTGAAAAACCAAATTCGCAGAAGATTGTTTATATAATGAAATCATTTTTATAAAGTTCAAAAACAAGCAAGCTATTATATTGTTTATGGATACCTATATAGGTAGCCGAAAACCCCCCAAAATTACTAAAACTAAATAAAAGGCAAAAGAATGATAAGCCAGATATGGGAAAGTAGTGGTTGAGGATGGCAAGGCAGGGAGATGGAACGGGAGGAGTGCAGAGGTAGACTCAATATTGTTGATAATGTTCTAGGTCTTAACTTGGGTGGTGGGTCCACAGTGCTTCTTTTATTATTATGCTTCATAACATACGCACACCAGGCATTAGACTTTTTTTTGTGTGTGTGTTTGAGGAAGATCAGCCCTCGGCTAACATCTGCCAATGCTCCTCTTTTTTTGCTGAGGAAGACTGGCCCTGGGCTAACATCCATGCCCATCCTCCTCCACTTTATATGGGATGCCGCCACAGCATGGCTCGACAAGCAGTGCATCGGTGCGCACCTGGGATCCGAACCAGCGAACCCCGGGCCAACACAGCGGAGCGCGCACACTTAACCACTTGCACCACCAGGCCGGCCCCAGGCATTAGACTTTTTACCGAGCATCAGAATCATCTACGGAGCTTTAAAAATCAGATTCCCAGACCTCACTCCAACCTTACTGAAACAGAATAAGTGTGAGGCCTGGAATCCAAATTAACAAACTCCTAGGTGATTTTTTTTTTTTTTGTGAGGAAGATCAGCCCTGAGCTAACATCCACGCCAATCCTCCTCCTTTTTTTTCCCTTTTTCTCCCCAAAGCCCCAGTGGATAGTTGTATGCCATAGCTGCACATCCTTCTAGTTGCTGTATGTGGGACGCAGCCTCAGCATGGCCGGAGAAGCGGTGCGTCAGTGCACGCCTGGGATCCGAACCCGGGCTGCCAGCAGTGGAGCATGCGCACTTAACTGCTAAGCCACGGGGTCGGCCCCACTCCTAGGTGATGCTAATAAACCCAGGGCTGGGTAGATTAGGAACTCCTGCCCCAGGAGGCTAATTTATCACCTTGCTACACAAAACAACAATAAATGATGTAGTTTCAAAACCCAAAAGGGGTGATATGCATGTCACCATATAAGCTAATACGGAGCCCCTTCAAAGGTGATTTAAGGCCTTTAAAGATTAAGAAAGGGAGATAGTTCTAACACCCATTCTGCTAGGAGCAAGACACTGCTGAGAATTAACTAATTGCCCCCCTAGAGAGCCCTTTCTCAGCGTAGCCCAGTAAAACTGACCCAGGTCCAACTCCTGAGAGGCACTGGGCCAGGCATGAAAGCTTACGTGAAAACTTGAAAGGAATAATTCACGGTCCTTTTCAGGCTGCTGCTTCTCCTGCCCTCGCCGGCTGTACCATGAGGACATTTTTACACGTGAGCACGTCCCCAGGAACATCTGCAGCAGATGGATGGCATGCCAAACCACAAGACTCCATCAATACACTCCCTTCAAAACATGTGCCTGGTTCCAATATACCAATACACTCCCTAACAGACTGCACTTAAACTTCGTATCATTTTGCCCATGGTATGGTTGGCCAAACTGAAATTACTTTGGTGCCATTTCAGGATTTGGAAAGGGAGGAGCAAACAAAACAAAGAACGTATCAAAACCTCTAGGCAGTGCTGCCACCCCACTTCCATCAAGCAGAGCCCCAGCAGGTCTGTAACCCTGTCACAGCTGCCATGTTCTTACAGGCCACACTGCCTTTACAGCAGCTGTTCCCCCTGCCCGGATGTTCTCCTCTCCCTTGTCTGCCTGTCAGTGCTCTACTGGTCCTACCTAATCAACCTCTCCTTTCCAGTGCCTTTCCTAACTTCGCCTACGTGAGGACACACACCCGCTCCAGACTGTTCTGTTTCCTCCTCCCTGCTCTCATTACACCCCATGCAAATCCTGTCACACAACTGGCTACGTCATTTACCTAGAAACACAATGCTCAAATATTGAACTTCACCTCTCCTATTACTTTGTGAGCTTGGACAAAGGTTCTCAACCTCTCAAATTCTTGGTCTCCTCATCTGGTAATGACTTGTACTTCACAGACTTGTTGAGAGGAATAAATGAGATCATGCATGGAAAACACTTAACACAACGCCTGGCACACAGCAGTTGCCCAAGGAAGAGAAGCTATTATTTGTCAAATGAACCATCAGAGACAAAGGTCAAAGGCTGTATAGAAGACACCAAATTCAGAAGGGGAGAGAGAGGTAAGGCTACCAAAGGAACCTCATGGAGATGTATGCTTGGGTGACCTTTTGCTCTGGCTACCATTAGAAGCAGCATTTCAGAGTACACCGTCAGAGGGAGATTTAAGTCGTGGGAGTGCTGGCTGACCTCTTATGCTTCACAGCTCCTGCCAACAGCTTTGCCTGGGAGAACTTGTTCTTGGTTTCTATGGGTTTCACAGCCACTTTCTTCTCCACTTCCTTCTTGTTTTCTGAAGAAATTCCAACCTTGTTGAGATTACTGTGAGTTATAGGTTAAGGGTCAAACTAAGCAAAAAGAGCTACAGCAGGACAATGGCAAATCAAGAGAAGGAAGACAAATAGAAGCCACTAGCACTTCAGCTCTGCCATGTAATGTTTAGCCTATTCCTTTAAAAAACACCCTCCCCTCTTTATTCTGCCAATCGAATCAGCTCACTTACAGAGAAATGAAGGTGACCACAGAGAAAGATGGCAAATCAAGCCCAAAATAATACAGAGAAGCAAACTTGTTCCCTCTGATTCTCAATGAAAAGCTGAGTACAGCCAGCAAACCTGCTATTACCAAAGACATGGTCAATATCATGCTTGCTGGGGAAAACCAAGATCATAAGGAATATAAACGCAATAGAAAACAATGTAGCTTCTCTGAAAATAAAAAAAGGTTTGCTTTTTTCCCATTAAGGCTAAAATCAAATTTTGCAGAATGTCCTGTGATTATCAATGGCACTCAATCTTAGACGCCACAGAAACTAACTCCTGGTGCAATACAACATCAGAATCACCTTAAGGCTCAGTAAAAAACAAAGGACCTCCCTGTCCCAAACCTACTGAATGAGGACATCCAGAGGCCCAGGAACCTGTTTTAAACACTCTCTCAAGGTGATTTTAATGAGAAACTCCTGTGCATATACAACACCAGAACCAAAAAGCTGTTTTAAAAGCATAACCAGTTCACTCGTAACAGCCCTTTTTTCATGCTTGATGTCAATCTCCGGCTCTCAAGGTTTATCACTTTCTTTTGTTCTCTCCACCAGTCCCCTCCTTTCCTTCCCTTTCATGCTCTCTCTCACAACCTATGAGGCAACAGATAAGTATTCTGACATGGTGCAATTCCTTATTTAAGATGCAGTAGTGCCTTCCTGGCACAACAGTGACATCTAGTGCCCAGGAAATCTAAGAAGCATGTGCTAACAGTCCAAAGAGGCAGGGGTGGGGGGTACATGGTCTAAGCTATTTATTTATGTGTCTCTGACCATGAGAAAACTGGATACAAGAAATAAGGAAAGTCTAATTCTGATCACTCTTCAGGCGCTAACTCTGTTCTCATGGGCACCAATTATGTCAAATATTCACAATATTAAATGGGGACTATGCATAATGCTCAGTACCATTCTGAGTTTCATCAACTTAATGTTTTCACGGTCATCCTGGAAACAGTATGTAAACAATAAAGGTTCATTTCTTTAGAATAAAACTGAAAGAAACAGAGATTTCATCTTTCTAGTACAGAATGCCAAAAACCACGAGCATGCTGTGACTTTTACCTGCAACTCCATCATTAAGGGATAAAAACTCTCAAAGAAAATTTTTAATATTAAATACTGAAAAATAAAATAAAAATGGAAAAAACTAACACAACAAAAGCCCACATGTATTTTTAATACCAGGACACAGGCAAAAACCAACACTTACCTTTTTATTCTTTTATTTATTTATTTATTTTTAAAGATTTTATTTATTTATTTTTCCCCCAAAGCCCCAGTAGATAGTTGTCTATCATAGCTGCACATCCTTCTAGTTGCTGTATGTGGGATGCGGCCTCAGCATGGCCAGAGGAGCAGTGCGACGGTGCGCACCCGGGATCCGAACCCGGGCCGCCGGCAGCGGAGCGCATGCACTCAACCACTAAGCCACGGGGCCGGCCCATTTATTCTTTTAAAGTGAAGAAAAGCCCCCAACCTTTTCTTTTTTGGGGGGAGATGGTGGTAATATTATTATTTTTGATCCATATCCAAAGCATAAGCAATTTTTTCCTCTTAAGTCCCTCTCCCTCTAAAATGCTTTAAATATACAAACACACCTCAAAAATCTCAAGGACTTCATTAAATGAGGCATTTTTTAAAATCACATAGTTTTTAATACACATAATATTGCTAAATACTGGTTTAACCTTAAGGAAACAAGAGTTCTGTTGTTTATATGGCACAAACCATAGCTTGTTTGTTTCCATCAGTATCACATCATAAAATGTACCACATTATAACAATCAAGCAAAGACAAGACCCAGCTCCTGATTTAGAGCTTCAATAAACAAACGGCTAATCCCTCAATTCCTATCTCAACGTGTCTCAGGATACACGCATACTTGGGGTAGTGCATTATACCTCAGTGGGTGGGAAGGCTTGCTTTTCTTCAGTTTTTCTAGACAGTCAGAACTTTCTAAGTTTCCAATAAAAGCCACTACCCATGAGCCTCTTCAATGTTATAGTGTAATGTTACCAGGACAGAAAGTTTCCTCTGCCTCCCTACTGCCCTGTTCATTCTTCCCTCTGAACTCAAAACCAAGTGCATTTCACCCTCATACCACACTAACATTACGTTCCAGAATGCTGTCTTGGGAGACACTCCGTCTTATTTGTGAGCCTGCCCAATTAAGCACATAAAACAAGACATAACTCAGGTGAGAAGTATAGTTAATGCGTTTCCTTAGAGGAAAAAGCCTGGTGCCTGAAACAATGCAATACATACATCTGCCCGTCTCTGCAAACATCAATGCATAATATTAGTCTGGGGTCACCAGGGAAGGAAACAAGGGAGGGGGGCTTCAGAAGAATCAGCCTCAATCCTGCAGTCGGGATTCAGGTATGACTCAGCCTAATGTCACAGCAGAATGCCACTAGGAGAACTGGGATTGGAAGCCAGGTCTTTCGCTACCCGTTCAGAGCAGGTTTTGTGGTACCATGCTCCACCTAAATCACCTGAGTCACCTTGATTTAAACCAAATCCTTGGAAATCTAGCTATGCTTTCTCCCACACAACTCTTTAATGGAACCTACTGCACACTCCCTGCAAAAAATACCAACGAGCACATACACACAGAGTCACAGCATCAATCTTAGAGGTGAAGCCTGTTCAATCACACTAGTGAGGTTATTTAACATACAGACTTATCACATTCAAATAAGCTTTCTCATAGGAGGAAAAAAGCTAAGGTGGCTTTATTAACCTCTCCTATGAGTTACTCATTAGTTTATTCACATATATATACTGAGCACCTACGACATGCCCACCACTGGTGAAATCGGTGGTGACCATGTCCTTGTTCGTATAGAGCTTACTTTACATTCCAGCAGTAAAGAGGCAAACAAACCAGTAAGCAAATAAATTAAGATTTTCAAGTAGTGACAAGAACTATAAAAAAATGACATCACAGACAGTGGTGGAGGAGAGTACGATTTTAGACAGGGTGCTTAGGGGAAGTCTCCCTGAAGAGGGGAGATGTGAACTGAGACCCAAGTACCATGAAATGCCAGCCTTGTCAAATCTGAGGGCAGAGCATTCCAGGCCGAGGAAACAGCAAACACAAAGGCCTTGAAACAGAATCACAAAGCTTGGTGAGACAGGAACACGAAGAAGGCCAGGAGGCTGCCATACAGTGAACATGAGGAAGAGTGAATTTAAGACGACAGGGAGGTGGGCTGGCCTAAATCATGCAGAGCCTTGTAGGGCCTGGTAAAGAATCAGACTTAAGTCTAAACGCAAGAGGCAGCCACTAGTGATTCCAACAGGAAAGTGACGTGATTCCATGTATGTTTTCAAAAGTTCCCTTTGACTGTTGTCTGGAGATTGGATTGTTGGGGATGAGAGTGGAAGCAGAGACTAACTAGATGGTCACAGTAATCCAGAGAAAAGTCTATGACTACCACAATGGCAGAAGAGATAGCAAGAATCGGGCAGACCTGGAGTACATTTTGGAGCCAGTTGTTGGCGCAGGCACCTGGGGGTAATAGGAGCACCAGTTACTGAGACTGGGAGACCAGAAAAAGAAGCGATTTGCGGGGAGGGCAGTGTGATGAGGGTGGGGATAGTGAGGCATGGAATTGAGAATTTTGATTCAGCCAAGGTACATTTGGGGTGCCTATTAAGACACTGAAGGAGCCGGCCCCGAGGCTTAGCGGTTAAGTGCGCGCGCTCCGCTGCTGGCGGCCCGGGGTTCGGATCCCGGGCGCGCAACAATGCACTGCTTGTCAAGCCATGCTGTGGCAGCGTCCCATATAAAGTGGAGGAAGATGGGCACGGATGTTAGCCCAGGGCCAGTCTTCCTCAGCAAAAAAGAGGAGGATTGGCATGGATGTTAGCTCAGGGCTGATCTTCCTCACAAAAAAAATAAATAAATAAAAATAAACATAAAAAAAAAAAGACACTCAAGTAGATGCCAAAAACGCAATATTTTGGGCTGCCCAGGTGGTGCAGTGGTTAAGTTTGCGTGCTCCACTTCAGCAGCCTGGGTTCGCGGGTTCAGACCCCAGATGCGGACATACACCACTCATCAAGCCATGCTGTGGCGGCGACCCACATATAAAATAGAGTAAGACTGACACAGATGTTACTTCAGGGCCAATCTTCCTCAAGAAAAAAAGAAGAAGACTGGTAACGGATGTTAGCTTAGGGTCAATCTTTCTCACCAAAAAAAAACAAAAACAAAAACAAAAAGGCAATATTGAGTCAAAGCGAAGTCATCTTGGCTGCTTTCTCTGCCCCTCTGGAGCCAGACCATGCAGTACCTGTGGGGAAGGTCTTTCTAAGGACACAGGAGAGTTGACAAACATTTCCTTTTAAAACTCAGAAGCCAACTTCTCCCCTGGATGAGGTTTACTGCATCACCCATCTGTCTCAGAGTCTAATCCCACAAGGCAAGAATACCCTGGTACTGACTATTAGGATTTAGGCCTTTAGTTAATCCTAAAGGATCTGGACTTTTGATTGCAACAGACTCCTGCACACAACATAACCACAAACCACTGCCAGATATTCAGTCAAAGGAATACCACTGTCGAAAGGGAACTTAGAGATCACCACGTAGAAGACCCTCATTCTATTTACGAAGAAACTAAACTCCACAGATGTTGATGAGAACACTGACACCTTACAGACTTCTCTCAAAGTACAAAGGATATTCTGTACTCCTTCAATTCCTTCAGTTCTTCTTCTCTTCGTTGCTTTTCTATTAGTTCCTGCTGCCGAGAAACCTCATCAAGGAAGTTGGTCTCATCTTCATCTAAGCCTCTTACCATGTTTTCTGAGGAAATAATTAAACAAGGAACACTTAGCAGGCTAAAGGGAAAATACAGTCAAATAAAATTTTTCCTTTTCCTTTTTTTTTTAATAAACAACAGATCCTTTAGGGGCTTAGAAGAAAGTAAACACCGTGGCTTTTGGATAGATAACGTGGCACAAAATCAAGGCATTTCTCCCATTACTAGATATTAGCATAGAATTAAAATGGGTATCTTGAGCTCTAAACAAAAATGTTCAATGTGGTCTAGAAGGCAGAAGTTTGTCTCTTTTCCACCAAATGAGCATCTGGAGACTAGATAATCAAGACAATTCCAGGGCTAGTTAGAAAAAGTGTTGCATAAGGCAAGAGTGCATCAGACAGGCTCTGCCGAGTCCCCTGGACTCTTTTTGGAAGCTTACTGAATTTGAACTGCTCCTCGTACTCCTGCTGCTTCCTGTCTTTCTGTTCCTGTAGCCTTTCATACAGAGACCGAGGGTCATAAGCCTCCTCTGGACATTCTGAAAGGAAGAGGAGAGAGAAAGGGGGACAGAGAAAGAGAAGTGGGGAAAAAAAACACATACTTTAGAATTCTTTCATATTATTTTAGAGTCACAAAGAATTTTAAAGATAAAGTCAAGTCTCTGCATGATCTGAGGGCAAGAATAACACAAAAATAGCATCAAGTCCACAGCTTCCCTCCGGATCTCAGAGAGGGGCCAGCAGTTCTTAAAGCCAATGTCAATACAACCCACGGCCTGAGATAGTTCACTGGAGAGGGGTCACCCAAACCCTACAGAGCAGCAGCATTCCCAATTGTTTGGATCCTGGATCCACCTGTATAGATGTAGAATCTCCTGGAAGACAGTGTGGTAGAGTGGGGAGGGCAAGGATCCTGGTTCTGCTCCCAGCTGTGGAGGCCTTCCACAGGTGCCTTCACCCCTCTAAGCCTCAGTTCCTGGGCTCTAGGGCAAGGACATTCATACCTACTTTGCAGGGTTGTGGTGAGGATTAACGATCACTATGTCGAATACCAAACTATAAGCCTATATACCTTGTGGATCTTCAGGTTTTCGAACTTTCTCCCATTCTTCTTGCCTCCTTTTGCGCCGCTCATCTAGTTCTGCCTCGGACACAAACCTCTTTTTGATAACAAGGTTACCATCATCCCCTCCATCCATAATGGAACAATCAGTCTACAAAAAACAAACACAGCATTTCAAGTGAGAACTGCAATTAAAACTCCAAAGAGAAACAAGGAGATTTAGTTCTGTCTCACCCAGTAACAGACTACCTCGAAATTCCCCTCAATCTTGAAACAAAGAAATCCTCAAGTAGTTTAACTTAAAGGTCAGTGATGAAAGCACATGATTACATTTTCCTAAGGTACCACGTAGTTTTACTAACATCTATGTTATCTATAAAGCCAGCAAGAGCACCTGGAATGATTCTCAGTACATGCTGTTCCACAGTAAATCTTGCATTGCAGATATTTCTCTGTCCCTCTAATCTAGACAAACTGGCCTCCTGGGCACCCTATCTTTTTCCCAGTTCTCATTCTCCTTTATTTCTGTAACATCTGACATTGTTCCTTCTTGAAATTCCTGTTTCAGGGACATTACGCTACCTCGACTCACCCTTTCTTATTTCCAAGTAGATTCAGAATGGAGAGACTCAGGTATTCAAGGAATCTTGGAGATGGAGTCAGTCTGTACAGCAGGGAAGTGATATCCTAGAGGCCATTCCTTATAGCCCACCTAATATGATTCTCCAGCTGGTATCTGAATCCACCATACATACCCAGATTTTCATCCAACCCACGTTTTAAAACTTCAAGATGGACCACTGCCCTCCCTCCCAGGCTGCTGACTCCCTCTCTGAGCAGATCTGACTGGTAGGATAGTTCTTCCTTAAATTGAACTGAAATCTGTCTCCCTGTAAATTCTACACACGGGTTCAATCCACTGAGACTACACAAAGGAAGCCAATCCTTTTTTCAACACGACAATGCTTCAATTGTTCGCAGACAACTCCCATGTTCCTCCTAATTTGTCGCTTTTCTGGGCCAAACATCCCCAGTACCTTTAATCTTATAAAATGGAGAAAAAGAATAGTGTCTCAAAGCAGTGAACTCATCAGATTGCATATGATTTAAACCTGGGAAATAAATATTAGGATATGGCAATGCCACCGGTATTCCATTCAACATATCTCTTCACTCTCAGTATACATTTTTAAAAATGAAAAAAATATATATTAATACCGAAAAAAATCTTCCAACAGGCCAAAACAAAAACCTAGAATCTTACATGCTTCCATCCAAATAAGAATTCAGACTCTAAGAATTATTCTTATAACTCAAAATTAAGAAAGTAAAATCATTCATTTAATTTTCACGGCCTATTGAGTTTTTGGAAAAAGAAGAACCCACTTTCATTTAACTTTAACAAAGAACCCTGAAACTCAAGGCACAAAGGCTTTAGGAGACATGTAAACAAGGGTTTGAATGTGGAATGGAAACACTAGAAAAATAAGAATCTTCCCAAGACTTATCAATCACTTTTGGGAAAAGACAAATTTATGGGGTTCCAAGACATTCTTACTTTCTTTTCCATCAATCTTTTTCTCTTAAGTGTTAGAATTCAACTTCTACCCAAAGAGTTTATTCTGGCTATTACCCATCTTTCACACACAGGGACAAAACCAGGAATCACAGTTGGTTAATGAAAATGAAAATAAAGCAGAAATACATTAAAAAGGAAATTTAAAGACAATGGCGGGCCGGCCTCGTGGCTTAGTGGTTAAGGGCACGCGCTCCGCTACTGGAGGCCCGAGTTCGGATCCCGGGCACACACCGACGCACCACTTCTCCGGTCATGCTGAGGTCGCCTCCCACATACAGCAACTAGAAGGATGTGCAACTATGACATACAACTATCTGCTGGGGCTTTGGGGAAAAAATTAATTAATTAATTAAAAAAATAATAATAAAAAAATAAAGACAATGGCTTTAAGGGCCCGTGGCGTAGTGGTTAAGTACACGCGCTCCGCTGCTGGCAGCCCGGGTTCGGATCCCGGGCGCACCAATGCACCGCTTGTCAGGCCATGTTGCGGCAGCGTCCCACATAAAGTGGAGGGAGATGGACACAGATGTTAGCCCAGGGCCAGTCTTCCTCAGCAAAAAGAGGAGGCCTGGCGTGAATGTTAGCTCAGGGCTGATCTTCCTCACACACAAAAATAAATAAATAAAGACAATGGCTTTAGAATTTGACAGAGAAACTACTTCTCTCAATGGGTTAGTTTCCTGAAAACACGACCACAAAGTCAAAACTAATGAACACTGACAAAAGTCTGCTCTTTAAAGCTAATATTATAATCCTGACATTCCTTTGATCCCAAAATAAATAAAACAAGCTAGATGGCCACATCTAAATATAATGATTTTTTCTGAGTTTAAAAAGGACAAGACTAAAGTACAGACTGCTTTATCCACATCCTTCTTCAATTTCCTTATCTCCTCTAGGTCCTCACGCCCTGGCACTTCTACTGTTGTTGTACCCTCCCGGCCTCAATGCCAGTGGCGGCCCTCTGGCTAATTAATTTTGTCATCGTTCTACATTAGGAGAGGTCAAACATAGGGTCAGAAAATGTTCATGAACAAGTGGCCTTACTCCTGAGTATTCTGGATAATATCAGAATATTCCTTCTCCAGAAATATTCAGGTCTTTTCAGGATTCAAAACTTCACTGTCAATAAATACTGCCAAGAAGTAAGCTGAATTTCAGACACCTTTCACTAGAGTAGTCCTATCTTCTCTGCGGGGCATATGTTCCAAGACCCCCAACGGATGCCTGAAACCAGAGGTAGTCCCAAATACTCTGTTCTTTCCTATACATACACACCTATGATAAAGTTTAATTTATAAATTAGGCACAGTAAGAGATTAACAACAATAACTAGTAATAAAATAGAACAATTATAACAATATACTGTAATGAAAGTTACCGCAGATCTTAGCAACCTCAGCATATGATTTTTTTTCTTATTAAGTTGAGAACTTGCACCTTTTCACTTAAAGGAAGCACTTTATGGCTTCTCTTTGGCATATCTGAATTGCCAGCATGACTACTCTAGTGCTTTTGGGGCCGTTAAGTAAAATAAGAGTTACTTGAACTCAAGCACTGCGATCCTGTGACAGTAGATCTGATAACCGAGGCTACTAAGTGACTAACGACGGGAAGCGTATACAGCAGGGATAAGCTGGACAAAGGGATGATTCACGTCCCAGGCAGGACGGAGAGGGACTGACTCAAGATTTCATCATGCTACACAGACTGACGTGCAATTTAAAACTTAAGAATTATTTCTGGAATTTTCCATTTAATATTTTCGGACTACGGCTGACCATGAGTAACTGAAACCCAGGAAAGGAAAACCTCAGATAAGGGGGGACTACTGTACAACCTAACCTAATTCAACCAATATATGACAAGTATCCTCTATTGTAGTCTCCTTACCAAGACGGGGTACAGGTAAAGATAAAGATTATAGACTGTCTGAAATCCAGAGCCCTCAGCTCTACCCCTTACAAGTTGTATGACCTTGGACAAGTTACTTAAGTCCTCTGAGCCTTGGTTTCCTCATCCATAGATTGCACTCACCAAGGGGGATTAAAATAGTACTGCACAACATAAAGCTTCTGTGAAGATAAGATAACCCACGTAAAGCACTTAGCACAGACTTTGGCACATGCTTAGAAATGCTTCGGAAGGTTTGCCATTAGTACAAAGCACTCTGCTCAGCTCTGGACTGGTTATAGGAGCAAGAGAAAGACTGTCTGCTCTCAGGGAATGAGGGAGAAATAAATCAGTAACGTAAACAACCGTGACATTTCAGGTGGGAAAGGAATCACATCAAACTGAGAGAAATGAGGAAGAACTTACATGTATATATAATTTGGTAATTCTATATTTTCCCTTTACTGTGGTTCTCTATTTTCCTGTTTTACTTTATCAGTAATTCGATTTAAATAAACTCTACACTGTGCTGAATGCCGAACTCTGTGTCCAGCACTGTGCGAAATGCTACCAGGTGCATACAGGAAATAAATTTGAAGAGTTAGTACTCTTGTGCTAGTTAATACCAGATAATAGTGTATATAATGAATTACCAAAATGAGTAGTACTGTAAAAGGCAGTAGTAACAAGGGGCACCAGTATGGACCAATCCAGTTTCCCAGGCTGAAAACCTGGACATACACCTAGACTCCTTTTTTCTCCTTCCCTTACATCCCACCAGTCACCAAGTTCTGTTGTCTCGACCTCATAAGGTCCTCTTTTTAATCCATCCTCTCTTTTTTTTTAAAGAGAAGAGTCCATTCCTTTCAAATCTCTTCTTTTCAGGGCCTCCTCTTACATGGACTACTGCAATAGCATTCCATCAGTCTCCCTGTGTCTACTCTAGCCCCCACTACAGCCATTTATAACTCTACTACAGCACTTAGCCATTGTGTTTTATCCTTTATGTCTGTTCCAAGAGCTCTGTATCCACAGTGCTCATTAGCACAGTGTCTGGCATATATCAGGTATATAATAAATACTCACTGAATAAACCAACCATGAAGAGGATTTGAAAAACTTAAGCACAGAGGCATGCTCTCACATGAATATTCCTAGGTATTGTCCAATGTAAGTTATAGAGAATGGTAGGCATTATAGGAGTACTTGCTGAAGCTTCTATGTCCCAAAGGAAACTCTAGTCAAACACCATACAATTTGTGCAGTAGGAAACACAAGACCAAAAATTACATCACTTTATTATGTAATGGATGTCTTCTTCAAGAATAGCTCTTGCTACTTTCCTTTAGTTTCAACTGACTAAAAAATGCTCTCTTATACTGAATAGTAAGTATTTCCCTCACACAGCACTTTTCTTTGAAGAGTCCAATATTCATTGGCTGTTTATTCTGCAATAGAGAGGTGATGAGTACCTGCAACTTACTTACCTCCTTCTGGAAGTAGAGAAACTGGAAATTAAATTGTGTTTATTTCCAATTCCTACTGCCTAGCTAAATTTTCTCAAATCTCTTATTTTCCCCCTTCATTTGCTAGAATAATTAAAAACAAAACACAAACAAAAGCCCAGGGGTCTGGGGATCTAACTATAAAGACTCATGTAGGAATGAAGAAAATTTACA